AAAAATTTTTAAAAAATAAGTATTATGATTTTGACGATTTTTATCTCAAAAACTCAACTAGCTCAAATAAAGAACAATCAACTGCCTCTAAAACAAGGTCCCGACAGTTATACTATATCGCATCGTTCCGAAGCTAATAACACACTTTACTTGGAAAATGACTATATATGTAACCTGCACCCATACAATTTTTTATTGGAAATTTATCAGAGAATCCTGCCTAAAATTATGAGAAACATCCTGTATAAATTTTAAATAATTTCAAAAATTATTAATATACTAATTTAATTAATTTTGTTTGACGGTTATTTTACATTGTTATGAATACTATTAAATAATATAATTATAATTTGAAACTTATTTTATTCTTAAATGTTTCTTTATAATGTTACATTATAAAAATTAGATTTATTTTAAGTAAAATATTTTAATTGAGAAATTTATATACAATACATGATTAGTGGTATATATATTATGTTTTTGATTAAGTTTGTATTTGTATGTGCAGTTAAAATAATTATACATTGCTGAAATGAGGTTGGGAGTTAAAATGTATGTTGATGTAGTGGCAGTGAATAAAAACACAACATCAAGCAACATAAAGACTATAATTTGTAAAATAAATTTTCTGTTGAATTATAAAGGATGATGATTAGCTTCGCTAATGGCATAAATATACGAAAGTTATATCCGGTCACCTAGTTTGAAATTATATTCTGAAGTATTCCGAATAAAAATATAAATTAACTTACACCGAAATAATAAATTAAATTTTGTTTCAACAAAAATTTAAAAACCTAATGTGTATAAAGGGTGAGTTTACTTCTTGTTTTTACTTAGATTATTTAAACTAAATTAGCGTTTTATACGAATTTTTAAATTTAAATATTTTTCTAATTTTATGCACCGTTCATTATTTTGTTATCATAAAATCAAGCAAGAATATTAGGAATAAAAAATACCTATTAATTTACAAAAACAAATTAATTTAGAAAAATAAAATTTTTAAAAAATTTAAAATATAAATTGAAAAAAGATATAAACGAATTATGAATTAAATTTATTTTAATTTATTCATTCAAAAATCAAAACTAAATTTATTATTTTTAGTTTTTCGAATATACAAAGTGAAATTTACAATCCACATTTTAATACTAATTTTAATTTGTATATATAGAAATAGCATCTATGTATATATGTATGTTGGTATCATTATATGAAAAAGTTTAAACTTTTAATTTTTAAATGATTTTAACATTTTAAATGTTGATTTATTATTATTGTATATTTAAATAAAATTCATTTTAAATGAAAAACAAATAAACTTTTAACATGGTTAGAAACTTTTTTAGTTTTTATTTTTTATTTAATAAAATTATTTTGTATGTTTATGGTTTATATAGCAAAATTAATTTTAACATACTTTTATTCAATTTGTTCTTTTATTTTTTAGTTTTTAAATTCTTTTTATTTGTAAACATAAAATTTAATCCTTTAACTGTGATGTTAATGGTTAAAAAATTCATATCTTTAAAAAATTTGAATTAAATTCAAATATATAAATGATGCTAATTGAGGCGCTCACCGTATTAGTGTCCTATCCAACATTTTTGCAAAAAATGAGTTATTATGTTCAATGGAGCTGTAGTGGCCTAAAAAATTGTTCTATATTTTTAAAATATTTAGTTTACTCCTCTTTTCACTCCATTTTGGAGTTCATGAGGAACATGAGTTCGTTTGGCCTTTCTAGAAATTTTAAAATATAAAAATATTTTACATTTCAATCGCGATATACTCAAAATGTAATTTCCCAAGTAGGCTACTAATGCACTGAGCGGCTCATTTATTTTAGCAAAATAATATAAACTGATCATTACCGTCTGAATTCTATTCTATAAGAAATTAATTGTGATAACATTAAATTTTAAATAAGAAGTTCATATGATAGAAAAATGTATAATATATTTTAAGGAAGGGGATATCGATCTGACAATACCGCGGGAAAATTTTCATATAAAATTGCCAAAAAATTTAAAAAAAAAAGTGGTGTCATTAACTGAATTTTAACTGTACAGACCGAATTTACATTATTTTTTGTTTATATAGTAAATAAGTTAATAGATTTTATTGAAATTTGACAATTAATCTGGAAATAAACTAACAAATTTTGGAAATATAAAAGGGTTTAAATAATTTCACTAAATCTCGGTTTCAGTTTTCCGTTCATATTTAAGGAGTTATTTTAATAAATTTTCACTAATTTAAATTTTGAGTTCTGTTTGTCAACTAACTAACTTGGAATTTATTTATCCAAATCGGGAAATACGAAATGTAATCGATTACGGTGCTGATAACATCAAAAAATATTTTTTTTGTATTTTGATTGTGTTTTTCTATAATATGTTCATTTAATTATTTTATTTTAACAAAATGAGTATTAAAAAGTTTATAAATTTAGAACAAATTTGTATTTTATTATTGTAGTCAATTTAGTGGAGCAAAGTATTGCAAAGATTATAAAACTTGATATATTTTCAGTAGTGAAATATTTAAAACAGAATCCTTTTGTTCGCTGTTTTTATATTTCGATAACGTTCGTTTGTGCGATTTAGAAGTTTACTTTTGAATATACACAAAGAAATATCTAGGTATCTAATTAAAGGATTATTAGAATGTAATTGTGTCAGATTCTATAGATTTTATTGCAACCTTTATAAGAAGTAAAATTGCCACGAGCAACCCCAAATTAAAAGGAATAAAACTTAAAGGGTCACTTGTTTGTTAAAAGTCTTTTCTTCACAATTAACCAACAAAAGTGATTGCTTTATGTGTTCTATTGTATGGTAACGGTGTGCAGTGAGTGTGTATGTATATTTTATTTTTTCTATATGTATATTGCTTACTGTGTACCTATTAAAAGTACCTATTTAAAGATTTATTTAGTTACTGTCTCATTCAATAAATATTTTGTAGATTTTAATATACTAAACTTAATATTAATTCTTATTTTATAATATAATTATTACAACAGTATATTTAATAATTTTTATTTCCTATATTTTTTCATATTATTGTATTTAATACATAAATTATTTCTTTTTTCGAAACATTTAATTTTATCATATTATTTATCTGTACAGTAATAAAATCTTATGTTTTTTTTTTAAATAATTAGTTTTGCAAGCTTATCATTTTTATTTAAATTAATAATATTATATACGATTAAATTTTTATTTTTATTTTAAAGCAATTATATTACATATTAATATTTTATTAAAATAATATTTTTTTAATAAAATAAAAACGTTTATATTACGGAATTATTCCATATATGTATTGGGTAAAAAAATATTTAATATTCACAGGGTGTTCATTTCGTTTTGAGTTTTTCATAAATTCATTATTCTAAAGATTTTAAGCTCCCAAGTAATATTATTTACGTTGTTATACAGTATCCATTTATAAAAGGTTTATAAGACTTTTAGAAACCGGTTGAATTTGAAAAAAAAAACATTGGCATTGAATTAATAATTTTTAATTGATTAATTGAATTAATAATTTTGAACGATTAAAAAAGTTCAAAAACAACAGAGTGTTTTAAAAATTAATCAATTCAAATCTTAATGGATTAAAAACTGTTTTAATAGTTTACTTTGGCTATGTCACTAATTGACAAATTTTGGCATGTGTAAGGTGGCGGGAACTAAAACTTTTTGCGGATCGAAATTATAGGTAAACTTATTAAAAGAGTACGAGAAACGACCTAATTTTTAGAGAAAATCAGGCAATTGGACGTAGTAAACTACAGGCCAAATTTATATTCTGCCGCATATAAAGAGAATTTCACTTGAAATTCAATATTTAATTTTGGGTTGTTAGAACAATTATTTTATAAGTTTATAGGAAACTGAACTGGGAGCTGATTTTACATTTCAAAGGAACTAATTAACAGATATAAAATTAAATTAAATGATATTATAATGATAAAGATATTGCAAAAATTGTTAATATATTATATATGCTTTAGTATTATTTCAATACAATAATAAATTCCGGTTTCCCCTGATGGCCAAAACCATAATAAAATATTAAGATTGAACCGCGAATGAATTTAAAGTTGCCACTAAATCCGAAATTATTTAAATTGCTATTCTTTTAAGCTATTTTTTAACCAATTCAATTTTTTTTAAGAAACTATTTAATTTTTCCAATCATTTATAATTAATTTCTATTACGAAACTTCAATTAAATTCCAAGGAAGCAACGGACAAACAAAGTCGATCATTGGTAACGTAATATATTCGGAAAATTTGTTTAATTTTTAAGAAATTGAGCTTAATTTCATTTATTTATTTCTTCTGACATTAATATTTTTATGTTTTATTCTGACGACATAATCTAATAGACGTAAATAACTTGAAATTTCAATTACCCATACATGAACTCTCCAAGCTATGGTCTTTACTTTCATATCCCTAAATTTTGCAAATTCATTTTAAACTTTTAACATTTTTTCTTTTGCATAATCCCTAATATTTAACATCTAACATTAAACATTTACATATAATGGTAATAATGTAACAGATTGGACATGAGTGGATATAAAAAAAAAATGAACGCCCCTGTAAATATTTATTTTGAATTAAAAGAGAAGTATAAAAGTTTATTTATAACTTCTGCAAATAATTTAAAAAGAGAAAAAATGTATAATTTTTTTAAGAAAAAAAAAAATAAAAAAAAAAGACAAATAATTTTTCTTGCAATTTTATTAAAAACCAAAATAAAAAAAAGTCTGTACTTCTCATTCCTTTCTTTTTAATTTTTTCTTAAGTTATTTCTTTACTTTTAGTTTTTTTTTTTTTTGAAAATATTTCCTGTAAAAAAATTTTCCTCCTTTTCTTTTATTTTGCGAAAGTTTTTCATAATTTATTTTCCTCTTTTTCTGCTCTCTTTTTTTTTTTTAATTCAATTTCATTTTTTTTATTTTTATTTTTCCAGAGTAGAATTTTATTATTTTCGTTATTTTTTATTTTAGTTTTTATTTTTTTTGTTTTATGAAGAAAAAGTTTTTCTTTTTAAGGCTCCAGGTTAATTAAACTATCTTAAAATGCAATTAAAATGAATCGAATTAATTAAAAAAATTACAGTTGTTGAAAGGATCATAACTAATAAAAAGTATGTGACAATTCCTTTTTGATATCCAGTTGAAAAATGTTGTATTTGTTGTTTTAATTGATTTATGAAATTTTGAGGTCGTAATGCTGTTGATGAAGTAACTGTAAAATAAAACAAAAGAAGAGATAAAATAAATGAAAGAAGAGAAAATTATTTAAAAATAGATAACGGAAAATTTTATTTATGAACAAAATATAAATGAAAATATTACAGTTTTATATTATAATAAGAGAATTTCATATGCTGTAGAAGCAATTAAAAGAAGAGCTGAGCATGAAGTAGTGAAAAGATTTTAAGTAATAAATAAAAATTTTGTTTCAGTTAAGTGCTGCAATATACCTATAAAATTTTTTTTTAAATGGTTTTAGTTAAAATATAAATAATTTAAAGTAAATAAAAATTAATTGTATGATATTTTTTTATGCATTTTGGATGACACTGAGAAAACTAATGGAAGAGAAAATTGTAAATTTTTTAAGGTGATAATTTGAGCATTTATCACATGTAAACAGCCTTTGAGGATTGAGTATGTTGATGAAGAATTAATGGATTGCAAAAAAAATTTTTATACAATTTTATTTTTATTGGTTATTTGTGTTTTCATTTCCAAAATTGCTAAAACGAGAGTTATCATGAGCTGTTCAGATTCCTTTTTTTTTTGTATAAAAATAAGAAATAATCATAAACTTTGATGCCGCTCTTAAATACATAATAATAACATTTTAAAGTATTTTTAAAAGTAGTGGCAAATCTAAAACTAAGTAACAACTGTAGCCAAATTAGATTTCTATAAAAGTTTATACATATATATACATATCTTCATATAAATTGCAAATACATTTCAAATTGATTTCACAACTCCATATTCTTCCACAATAACGTATATGTAGTTTAAGGTGTTTGCTCTTAATTAATATAACTCCTAAAACTTAAATATGGTTTGAATATGTTACGTGTGATAGGCCTATTTCAGAACACGCGTTTCGATTTGGAGTACCACCGGACTACGAATATTTCTCGCATTGGGCCGTATAGAAATATTTTTACGTTTTGTATTGAGGAATTGAGGATAAAATATTGCTGAAAACTTGATCGCTGGTGCATTGTATTTTCGATAATTGTTACCTATTGGCTTGTGTGTCACTAGGTTTTCGGAGCTTTAGGAGTCCTCCTTGATTGTCTTTTGTTACTTGTATCCGGGGTCATCGATGTATTATGTTACATTTGACATATTAAAGAAAAAAAATTTGTTGAGAGACTGGTTCTATTAATTTGGAAAACCCTAAATTTATTTTTGAAATTATTAACTCTAAGAATATCTATGAAGATAATGCGTCGTCAATTTAGTTTTTCGGTATAAATCTTGGTATTAACTTTTCCATTTTCCCCTTTCTTTCTTGTAAATGATGACTCTCATTAACCTGAAAGTTGCTTATTTGCAGCTATATTATGTCAATTTATGACGCTATATGATGAATCTAAAGTACTATGTTCTCTGATATTATTTCTGCATCGAAACTGAGTTGACAAATTAATAAAAAAAACACCTACTACATGATATATCTTCTTTTCAAAGCTACGTAATGGGTAGAAAAAGAAATTGCTATAAAATATAATTTAAAAGTTTAACACACCTTCAAAGTAATAATTTAGAGATGTGAACTTCTTAGACATTTCAAAAATGTGAAATTAATAGCACCAAATGGATTCTTTGCTATTATCATTTGGCCAAATAGTAACAATTTGAAAGAGTTTTTAATTCGGTTTTGTTCTAATATAACTTTTATGAAATTGTATCTTGACCTCTTTCAAAAAAAATATTCGCAATTAAATTTACTCGTTTATGTTTTTGTTCTGTCTAATTCTCATAAAAGTATTTTGAATTTACCCCAACCAGTTATTAGAATACATAAAAGCCTTTTGTTCTTTCAATAAAAAAAAAAACAAAGTTAAGTAAAAATAATCATTTTTTCATTAACTTTCAAAACAACCTATTCGCCTTTAAACATTCTTGTATAAAATTATGTACACGTTTATCGTTATATGTGTACTACTTATACTGGATGTATGTTTGTTTTTAAATGCGTAAGTCATACTTATACAAAAATATTTTCATTTTTGTTTCAAACACATGATATTAAATATATTTACTTAAGAAAATTAAATATAAGTAAACTTATACCTAAGTATAATAATATAAAAATATATAGAATCAAAAACGAAATGTGTACTTATTGTACATATAGTAAATTTTCATATTCAGAAGCATATGGTACTGGAATTCATTATTCTGATATTAGGTAGTTTCATTGAGCCATTTACATTCTTAATATAAAAGAAATCTTATTGGCTTCGGATTCTTTTATTACTTATATTGAGTATAATATTATAGTTGTTGGGATTCTTTGTTTTTATAAAAAAAAATATACAAAAAAATTAATGTGTATACTATATTTGTACGTATAGCTATATACGTTTATTTTCATAAATGCCAAGAAACAGAAAAAAAAAAAAATAAATAAATTGCTAAAGAAAATATTCTTGTATTCTTAATTGAATATCCTTTTTATCCTCTTGATGATATCACGAAAAAGAATGCAGCAAAATTTATTTCATTTGTTTTGTTATATTACAAAGATACGTGTGTAAAATTTTCGCAAATAATGTGTACAATGGAAGGATCTATATTGCGAATAAATATAGAGTAGCACTATACCCGGGTTCCGTACGAAATAGTATATGATATCTATGTATAACATTATTTTTGAGTCAACATTTTCTATAGGACAAAATTAATTATAAAGTATATATGTAGAAAATATATTTTTGTAATATTATGTCATGTGTTATAGTATTACTTAAAGAAAAAGTATATCTTTAACTTATTCCATTTCACTAAATAAAATTGATCTCTACGTTTTGATTTGATTCCTCTTTTAAATGACCTGCGCTACCATGAAATTAATTACGACCGGAGTTTTCAAAGTTATTCTACTTTGTTCTTAATTATGCAGTGAAATGTTTTGTAAAATACAAGCACAAACATCATGGTTTTGTAATTGATTTGCAAAAAATAATATTTTTTATGACTTTAGGTTTTAAGTTTCTATCTGTACAAACTTAATTAACAACAGCGATTCAGCAACCTCAAAATTTAAAATTTCACAAAACACAATTTGTTTTGAATATCTAGAGTAATGCTTTGTAAAATTTTTCTTTGAAATTCATAAAGTAAGTTAAAAAATATTCTCTTAAAGAATGCTGACTAATTATTTAAAAAAATCTGATGTGGTCAGTACATAATCAACCGCAATGTGCATTGTCTAGTTAAATGAAAGTGTTGCAGAATATTATAAAAAAGCCCGTTAAATACTTCTTTCCAATTTTTAAGACATTAGTAAGCTTATAGTTAACATACCTAGAAAAATGTAAATTTGACTCTTAGTAGAGGTTCGCTGTATGCTACCCGAATTCCCTGAAATGCTCGCCAGTTAGTTTCGGTAACAACCAGAACTCAAATATCAAATTTTAAGAAATTTATATGTTCATTTCTTCAATACGAAGAATTCAAATATTAAATTTCAATGAAATCGGTTGATTATTTCTCTTTATATACACAAAAAAGTATATTTGGCTCGTAGTAAAAGTCCAGTTGGTAACATCTGATTTCCTCCAAAAGTTAAGAGGTTAATACCGCAGACGGCCGAGCGAAATTTATATATGAAATTTCAAAAAAGAAGGTTGAATATTTTCTTCATAATGATCAAAATTGTAAAACAGACCCGCTAAAACATGCAGTTCCCGAGGCCTGATATATCCCAAAAGTTAATCAATCCGTGCCATAGTCGAAATAAACTTATACATAAAATTTCATGAAAATCGGTTCAGCCGAACTTGAGATACACGCGTGCAAACACAGACCGACAGGCCGACAGACTTACAGACCGACAGGTGGCTAAAAATAGTTTATTTACACTTCCCTACCATGGAGAAATGCGTTCCCACCGAAAACTCGATATGCAAAATTTGTTATCACATAACCTACCTTATTGTATACACAATGCTGTCGATATAGCTCAAACACACTTAAACTGGCGAGCACTTCAGGGAATTCGGGTAGCACAAAGTGAAACTGTATTAAGAGCCAAATTGACATTTTTCTAGGCATGTTAACTAAAAGCTTACTAATGTCCTAAAAACTGGAAAGAAGTGTTTAGCAGACATTTTTATAATATTCTTTAACACTTTCACTTAACTAGACAATACACATTGCGGTCGGTTATGTGCTGACCACTCAGATTTTTTAAAATGAATTGAAAAATAAATCTTGTTTTAATAAATTTGAAACTTTATAATAACAATATGATTTGGCAAAATCATATTGATAATTAAAATTAAAAATCATATTGATACTTAAATAATGGCGATATGGGAAAGTTTTGCAAAACGAACTCAAAATATTTCTCAATGAAGAAATTTTCAATTCTTCATTGCACAATGTAGTTAAAAATTCTTTTGATTTTAAAATACTACTGCAGTTACTGTGTTTTCAATTAATATTAAAAATTACAAAAAATGTTTTAAACCATGAAAAAAAATTTTACATTCTCCTAAAATTTTAATTTTTTTTCTCTGTCTGTATTTTTATTGGCTAAAATAAAATATAACAATAGTTAATAATATAACAATTTTTTTTCGCGATGAACCCAAATTATTAATATAAGAAGTAAAAACGATATAATCGACCTTGTCCGACATCATACACCATATGTAATCTGATTATAATACCAAAACCTTGTTAATTAACTGAAAAAAAATTTTTCGGCGCATAACTTTTATATAATTTAATTTTTTCTTACCGAGTTTTATTAAGTTTGCTCAAATAGTTTTTGAAATGTTAAAAACTATTGGTTGGAGTGGTATAGCAGTACCCATACTTGTTAACCTGTCTCACACATACATATGGCACGTATCCCACTCGTTAGTATGAGCGATCCTTAGCAAAAAAGAAACAATTTGTTCAAATATGGTGGTAATTGCTTTTTCCGGATTCGAGTTATCGTTTCACACAAACAGACGGGAAATCAACGCAAAAATTTTACGCTGAACAAGAAATATATATGTACATACGTGTTCACATTTCAATGACTTCTTCGAGTTATTACAAACTCCATATGAAAGTTAATATAACCTTCACTAAGGTGTAGGGTATAAAAATCGATACTTTTATCGATATTTAGTAGCTTGTACAATATTGTTGTTATAAAATAACGAAGATATGAGTATCACATGATTTAAGATTTGGAAAAGTTCTGCAGTAAGTCAATAGAAATTTGAAATAAAAAATATTTTTTTTTATTCTTTTCGTTTTTTTTTTATTTTTGTTACATTCGAATTCTTTTGAGAAATCTAACAATAAGTTTTTGCAGCTTTTTTATACTTTCGAATTTTTTACTCGTTTTCTTCTATATAAAACTTAGAAAAACAGAAGTGTATTAATTAAGTATTGATAACTTCTGATTATATACTATTCAATCAGAAATTCCAGAAAACAAGGGGGCAGAAAATTCAATTTAAAAGAATTTTTTGAACTAAACTTTTTTTTTGAATAAAATGGAATAAAAAAAAATCCACAATGAACTTTCGAATATAGAACATCATGTTCGTTAGCAAGAAAAACTATTGAAATAATAAAGTTGGGTCAAACCAATGGTTTGTATTGTAGCACTTTTCCCTTCAACAAGTGAAAATTCTGCTTTTAAATACAGTCTATGTTTATACAGTCTTCTGCTTTTAAATACTACCTATCACACTATTAAAATTATTTCTAGGATTGCATATATTTAGGATAAACAATTTATGCAGTCTTTGAAATAGAGCAAAAATTAATATAAAGTGGAGTTAACATAATGCTCGATTTTAAGGTTTAATTGTGTGAGTTAAGGAAAATTATTATATTTTTTAATGTCATGGAATTTACCGTTAGCTTTTTGCGTTTATAGAAATTTGAAAAAGCTTGCGGTTTCGGAAATATAAGGTGTCAAAAAATCAAATTTTACAAATTTCAAGAGGCGATAACTTGAGAGGAAGTGGAGATAAACTCTAATAAGAAAAAAATTTTCTTCTAACGAAATGAACTATTTATTAGTGTTTAAAAGCCCCTAAAATTTCAACCTTCTACAGGCTGGGGTATAGAAGAAAAATAATATCAAAAATTTGGAAAAAACGGACTTTAGATAACGGTAAATTTGAACGGCCATTTTGTTTTTTTAAAGTTCTCCCATAGTATGCCGCGATGGGAAAAGCATGCTCCTGGCTTTCTGCTTTTGCAAAATTTGAAAAATGTTTATGGTTTCACTGCAATAAATAGTTAAAAAACAGCATTTTTTTGTGTTTTGGAGGGGTATAACTTTTAGAGGGCGAAGATAGGTAAGCATTTTGTTCTACGGAAAGCTTCTGCTAAAGATCTATGTACTTATAAAATTTCAACTTTCTATCTTCAAGGGCGTAGAAGTTTTGTAAACATGTCAACGGACGGACGACCGGACGGACAGAGTGGAACTAATAAGCACTTTTTTTCAAAAATTTTTTGGAAAAGTGCTAAAAAGAAGAAAAAGAAGTGAAATTTACCCTTGCAACACATTTCAACAAACAAATTTTAATATGTTATTTTGCTATCAGTTTAAAATCGAATTAATACGAAATTATTTATTGAAAATAATTTTGAAGAGGGAAATTATGGTATTCGAAAGTAATGAAAACTTTATGTAACATAAATGCTACTTATGTATAATTATGCAATACCCTTACTAGCGACATAAGAATGAGCAATCTTGAATTGAAATACGTTTTACATGAACAATTTTCAAATAAAACAAATAATGTCGCGTCACATATCTTGCTTACAATTTCAGAAAATATTATTTTGGGACAGAATGAGAAAAAGCAATTGAAATAAATTATTCGCCCAAAACCGAAATTAATATAAGAAATAAGTGTTCCAATTAAAAAATGAAGACACAAAGTGAAATTGATGAAATATAAACATCATAGTAATCTCTGGAATCAACAATGCATTTTTAATTTCTGGAATTATTTACTTATCTTCAAAAAAACAAATTTGTGCGAATGTTTGATTACGAGTTTTGTAGTTAATATTAATTTTTATCTTTTGTATTGCTCAAAATTGCTGTTGACTTGGTAATTTTTCACTTATTTAGGTTTTAAAATTGCGTTAACCGAAACCAATTAGAAATTAGAGGTAAAAATATTCAAATAAAAAGAATATGTAGTTGTCATTTAAAGTTTTTTTTTAAATAATTTATTGAATGGCAACGATACGCGTTTATTGATAATGCGTCCGTAATTATTTTAAACGAAATGCTAACAACGAAATTTGGTTAAACTTTCTTATATGTCTCAAAAGAAGAAAAACAAAACCTTTTAACCGCTAAATTTTATTTTATTGCAAATACTGATTTCTATCAACTTTTATCGGGCACAAATTCTCTTATTAAAAAGTATATCAATGTATATACGTTATACATACCCATGTATGTATATTTTAAAATCTTTCTGCATGAAAAACTATAGACAAACAATAAGTTGATTTTTCAAAAAGAACGCAAATTAACTAATGAACCAATAAGTAAATAAACTTTGTTTAAATTTCGGTTAATACTTGTTTCCCTTGCATTTGAATAGAGAATTAAAACAAAAATATATGCAAAGATTGTAGTGACAACAAACTGAAAAAATGTTAAAATTAAAAAGGACTTTCTAATGAAATTCAAAAGTTACATAAAATTTTTACCTTTTTTTGTATTTAATTGAAGTTTTTTATTTTGTTTTTGTCAAACTTGTAGGTATTTATATAGAATTGAAAAATTAAAATATGCATACCTCTAGCTGGTATGGGATCCTTTTGTGGTCCACCTAATTCAATTTCACTACTTTCCTGATAATATTCTTCTATTTGTGCTGTACATTTTAATAGAAGGCTACCAAAGCCACTACCATAACCATTTGGTGAACTTATAAAATTTATCAACTGACTACCAAAATCTGATGATGAAAATCCTGAATTACTAATTGAATCACCAGTATTGAAATGAATTGCTTGCAAATGAAGTCTTAAATTAACTGTTGCCGCAAATAAATTGTCAATAGTACGTGTATAAATTGGTTCACCAGTTGGAATCTAAAACGATATATAAGAGAAGAAAATTAAAAAAAAATTATAATAAAATGAAAATACAAAAATGTGATATATTGTAGAACTTTATTTGTTTTAAAGAATTTTCTATAGGTATTTCTTACAGGTATACAGATACAGATGTACTGTACGTATTTATTTTGAATGCCAGTTAACAATGGAAAAAATGCGTGTACATATTATTAAAAAAGTAGAATTTCACAAAAATCTAAACAAAAAACAAAAAAAATAATTACATATTGCATGCAAATTTTATTGGTACGAATTTTAAAAAGATTGACTATTTTTTCATTATGTTGTAGCGAAATGCAGTTAGTCATTTCCTTTTAGTTCTGAATTTAAATTACATGAATTATTCATTTTTTATTCCAGAATAACAATGTTAAAGTAAAGTTTTCCGTTGATTTTATATACCGAATTATTCTGTCTTAACTCAATTGGTGCTTGGTCGCATACACCATAATTTCAATTTTCGTCTTTGGTAAAATGAATATCGAAATAAATGGGTTAGAAAAAAAATTAACACAGTTAGTTTTATTAAACTATTTTGTTTGAAACGCTTATTATATCTGAAATAATGATCTGAGATATTCGACATTAGTGTCGAATTTTGGGTTGACTTAACCATACCCTTCCCAGTGATAACTTAAAAACTAATTGAGGTAAGTTCACCAAATTTTGAAGAATGATTTATTATTGTAAATACCAAAACTCAACCCTATTTAAATTGGATATAATCGAGGTATTGGTTTGTGCAGCTACCATACAACTTCAAAATTTATTTGGCTATTTCTTAAAAATTGTTCTTAATCTACAGTACTGAAATTAGGTAAAAACTAATATGGTAAAATGTAATCATTAAAATTTGTTAAGATCTTATGAGCGCTTGTTATATCTGCCACACAGCTCCAAAAGTTATTTCGCCATATCTCAGAAATTATTTAGTTATTTAGAAATAGTTTAGAAATTATTTATACAAAACTATTTCTAGGATTGCATACATTTAGGATGATGCATATATGCAGTCTTTGAAATAAAGCAAAAATTAATATAAATTGGAGTTAACATAATGCCAATTTTAAAGCTTCATTGTGTGAGTTAAGAAAAATAATTATATTTTTTAATGTCATGGAATTTACCGTTAATTTTTTGCGTTTATAGAAATTTGAAAAAGCTTGCGGTTTCGGAAATATAGGGTGTCAAAAATTCAAATTTTACAAATTTCAAGGGGCGATAACTTGGGAGGGGGTGGAGATGGAAAAAAATTTTCTTCTGACGAAATGAACTATTTGTTAATGTCTAAAAGCCCTTAAAATTTCAAGCTTCTACAGGCTGGGGTCTAAAAGCAAAACGACATCAAAAATTTGGGAAAAAGGACTTTAGATAAAGCTAAATTTGAACGACCATTTTGTTTTTCTAAAGTTTAACTATACTATACTGCGCTAGGGGAAACAAGCCGTTGCCTTTCTGCGTTTGCAAAATTTCAAAAATGCTTATGGTTTCATTGCAACAAATATTTAAAAAAGGCCCTTTTTAGGGTTTTGAGGGGATATAACTTCTAAAGGGGGGGGGGGGGGGAATATGGGGGGAAAGATTTTATAAGATCGAAATGAGTTTTACTAAAATATTATTTTTGCAGTATTGATGAAAACGTTTCTTACTTTCTAGGTGACCGCAAAACTTTAATTTCCATATAACTTGATATTCTGCAGTATCAACTTCGGGGTTTTCATTCTGTTTTGTAAAATCAAATTTCGAACTATTTTCATGAGAATTCATTAAAAAATGTTTTACTGAGTATTGTCTACTTATGGAAATCAGGTGTTAACATTATTATAATGTGTGGGTGTATTTTGTTTTTCTGTTGCTTAACATCCGGAATATTACATTTTAAATATCTTTAGTTATTATTTAAGATTTTCCACAAGAAACATACCTTAAAGACAAAAATTCAATGGACGATTTATAATTATATTATATGTAAAGCAAATTAATTGTAAAAGCAGCACAAGCAAAATAGTATCGAACCATAATATATGTAGGAAAGTGTGTATATAAATGGAAAATAACTGAAGCAGTAAATATTATGTACATAATGTGAGTAAATCGAATAATTATTGATTTCAAAATTACAATTTTTCACTTTAATTTGTTATAATTGTATAAATTAGGCTTTGATTAGTAAATGACGTGTGTGGAAAAATTGATTAAATTTTTTGTCTGTGATAGGAAAAAAATCATTAAGATTTTATTTAGAATTTTTGTGCGAGAATAAATTGAAAATAGAAAATTTACAATTGCCTCAGCAATTATGTAATTAAGAGTTGTTCATTTGTAAGTCTTTATAAAAATGTTATTTATTCACTTTAACTATGCGTAAACATTTTAGTAATAGGAAAAGGCAAAATTAACTTACCTTTGAATTTTATCGATAACAATGTAGTATTTAAAAAAAAACATTATTATGTAAATTGTGTATAAGTCGATTTGTCCTGCAAAATTTCAGTAATTTCAATTACCGTATAAGAATTTTCTATAAATTTGTGTATACATGTATGTATAAGAAAATTTAATCAAAATCGTGTCTTTATGAACAAATAAAAATCTCTTGTTTTTTCCATATATATTTAAATTTCAAAGTAAAGAAACGAGTGCCGTGCATTTATTTGAAAATCACTAAATATGAACAAATTCATTGTTTTCATAGAGGTTTGACTCACAACATCTTTACATAGATTCGATATGAGGATCTTATTATCCATTTATTTCGGACTTAAGTATAATCTATATAAAGTATAGTGTATTTTAAAAAACATATTTGGATTAAAATTAGCATGAATTATTTATTCAACTTTATATAACTTTTAATTAATTATATGTTACAAATTACCGATACAAATTATCATTACATTTATGTTCTAAAAATCTAAGTTTACAAAATATTACGAATGAGATTTGCTCTATTTTAAGCATAACTATAGTTCTTTCTGTAATTTCTATTAAGAAATAAGATTTTTGTCAAATTACTGTATTATGATTTATTAATTTCATGATTTTTTGTATAAAATAAATTCTACAATTTAAACACGTTTACACATATACTGATTAAGTATATTTTAACAATATAATATACATATAAAATTATTAAAATAAAATCTTTTTTTTGGTATGTTAAAATATTGTTATGATTATTAATTTTACTCCCAAAAGTCATTTTATTAAAAATAGTACGTTTGCAAAAACTCATATAACAATTTCATATTGCGGTATGAGTGAAATTCTCACATATTTCATTTTAATAAAAATATTGTTGTGTTTCTTAATATTAGTATTTATATTATACTTCTGTACAAAGTATGAATATAGAGTTGAATATTTTATTTGGTTTCGAATTTTGCTTTTCTTTTGTTTTTCATTCTGGAAATATGTTGTTCAAAGTGACCCTATATGAATTTTATTATTTAAGTCTTGCCTTAACTCTCACAAATGATATGTCCTTTTCTGTTAAACTTTTCTCTTCTGTATAAAAGATGAACATAAAAAAGAGAAAAATAAAAAGAAAAATGTACAAACTAAAATTCTATGAAAAGAAAATGAAATGATTCTTTTCCCAAAAAAAATAAAAAATTAAGAAAAAAAACAGAAAAAAAAAGAATTGATAAAATATAATGAAAATCAAAATTAAAGTAGAAAGGAAGGAAAAAGGACTAAAATGTTTGAAATGAAATATAATTCCTTTTTTTTCAATTTGTTCTTTATTTTTTTTGCTTTTAGTTTTTTTATTTTTAACAAAATAACAAAATAAAATCAATAAAATCAACTTACAAGTCACGTTAGAACTGTACAATAAAGACGGTCTAATGTAATAATGTGAGGATAAATGAGGACAATTTCTGGAGGACTTTTTATCGCTCTAATGCCTTTCTATATTTGTTTTTATTATTTTTTCTAGTTTTCATTTCTTTTTCGTTTTTTTTCTTTTTCAAGGAAAAATATTCCCGTTAGCTGATTGTTAAATATTTGAAATAATACACATTATTATTGTGTATATTAGGGCAAAAATAATACTGTTCCACCTTTTAACGTTTGAAGAAAACGAAATCAAACAATCGACAGTGGCGACTTCTTCTTTTTTTGTAAATTACAAACGTAACTTAAAATGAAGCGTTTCAATACAAAATGATGCTACTTTTTTAAAATAAAAATTCTATAGATATTTTACATTTTTTATCACTTTTCTAAATTACAAGCTAGTAAAAAATTGCAAAATAATTTTAAATCAAAGGTATTACTTGAATTTTTTATTGGCTGCTTGATTTTATAGATATATTGTCTAACGAAGGTAAAAAAATGCGATTATTATAAATGCGTAATAATTTAAATACGCTATAATAATTAAAATAATTTATGGTTCCTGATATATAGCTAAATCTTTTATGGTTTCTGAGATATAGCAAAATAACTTTTGAAGTTGTTCGAACCAGTGCCCCGATCATAATCAGTTTAAATAGGGTTCTGGCATATACTATCATAAATCATTTGCAAAAATTTGGTAAACTTACTAGTTCTTGAGTTCGACTAGCAAGTCCACATTACTTGAACTAGTTTTGAGTTATCGATGAGACGGACGGACGGACAGGATAAGCTAAATCGATTCAGAATTCGACGCTGATCAAAAACATAGACTTGAGTCTATATTTTAGACAATTATTTCTTAGCGTTACAAACGGTAAGGCAAATTATAAAAATTAGGTAACACAATATATGCTGATGCGCATAATACTGATTTCGAAAACCATGCATTTTATGCTGCTAATAATTAAAACGTGATAAATTTTTTAAAATTTAAAGTAAAGCACATAATGTTGGAAAAATAAAGAAGACTGGATCACACACATGATTTCTATTAAAAAATAGTTTAAGAATTCGAATTAAATTCATTGTATACAAATTTTTTCTATTTGAGTTATTTTTATTCAAATAAG